GAAAATATGGTACATATACACAGCAGAGCTCTATTCAGCCATGAAAAAGAACGAGATCCTGTCATTTGCAACAACATGGATGGAAGTGGAAGACAAAAAGTATTAACAAAATAAGCCAGGCACAGAAAGACAAACTTCACACATTCTCACTCATTTGTGAGAGCTAAAAATTAAAACAATTGAACTTATGGAGATAGGATGGTTATGGGGGTGGTGGGGAAGTGGGGATAGTTAATGGGTACAAAAATATAGTTAGATAGAATAAATAAGAGCTAGTATTTTTCAGCACAATAGGGTGACTACAGTTCACAGTAATTTATCGTATACTTAAAAATAACTAAAAGCATATAATTGGAATGTCTGTAACAAAAAGAAATGATAAATGCTTGAGGTGATGAATACCCCATTTACCCTGATATGCTTATTATGCATTGTTTGCCTGTTTAAAAATATCTCATGTACCTGATAAATTTATATACCTACTATATAACCATAAAAATTAAAAATTAAAATTAAAAAAATGGTCATTTTATATCTGCTTGTAGTATTTTCTAGGTTTTTACAATACACATGTACTGCTTCTGTAATAGTTTCTATGGAAAATTTATGACTTTTCTGTGGTATCAATAGATGCATTCATATTGCTTCATCATAGAAAATTTGTTAGAAAAGAAACAGATACCGACATGAGGGGAAGCTAAAGGGAAATTGGCGGTTTACAGAACAAGGTCTCAACTTTAATTCTTTAACTCTTTATAATACTTTGATTTTATCAAGATACATTTACTCCCTTTCATGTCATTTCACATACACAATGCTGTGCACTAAAAATGTTGTCTTGACTTTTTCTCGCTGGAGGCATTACAGCTCTTCTCATTATTAGATAGCTCAGTGTAAGATGTACTTTGCTAAATAAACTCACAAAGCATGAAGAATTCTAGATACCTCTGCATAATAATCAACCTGTTTCCTTTTCACCAGGAAGGGTCAAGCTTAATGGTTGTTAGGATCACCACTATATATGCAAATTGGATTCCTACAAAATAAGCAACCATTTTAGAATATACATATTCACACTCTAATTGCCTTAAAAATGAGTCAAGGAATAGAAAAATTACTTTCAGTAAGACAGTACTCAATTTCAGTTGAATATACAACAAACCAATTTCATATCATTTATTTCTAATTTCTTAAGTTATATTATTTGAGAATTGTTCATGTTTTCAATTTAAGACTGATCTTCCAAAAGTCCAACTTTTTTTTTTAATTGCATTTTAGGTTTTGGGGTAAATGTGAAGAACATGCAAGATTGTTGCATAGGTACACACATGGCAGTGTGATTTGCTGCCTTCCTCCCCATCACCTGTATCTGGCATTTCTCCCCATGCCATCTCTCCCCAACTCCCCACCTCCCGCTGTCCCTCTCCTATTCCCCCGCCACCCACCTATGAGTGAGAACATGCAGTGTCTGACACAAGAACAGAAAATCAAACAACTTTTTTAAAAACAGAAAATCACTTGGCATATTGAACATTTACTTATTTGATCAGAGCCAATTAGATCTGGAGGTTAAAAATGTATGAGTTTGGGCCAGGTGCGGTGACTCACGTCTATAATCCCAGCACTTTGGGAGGCCAAGGCGGGTGGATCACCTGAGGTCAGGAGTTCGAGACCAGGCTGACTAAATGGAGAAACCCATCTCTATTAAAAATACAAACTTAGTCAGGTGTGGTGGCGCATGCCTGTAATCCAAGCTACTGGGGAGGCTGAGGCAGGAGAATCGCCTGAACCCAGGAGGTGGAGGTTGCAGTGAGCTGAGATCCAGCCATTGCACTCCAGCCTGGGCAACAAGAGTGAAACTCTGTCTCAAAAAAAAAAAAAAAAAAGTATGGGTTTGAAGCCCACCTCTGACTGGCCGCATAACCTTAGGCAAGTTATCTAGCCTAGCTAGATCTCAGTTTTGTTTTGTTTTTTCAATCTATAAAATGGAGAAAACACTATTTACCTCAGAGAGTTGTGATGATTAGATGAGATTATGCTGCCTGTTTACATAGCGCACTCAATAAATATCCATGACAATGATGGTGATGACTCTCGTAATCCTGACATGCGATTCCAGTCCGATATATCCCAAGAATGTTGAAGATGCTGCTTTACATCTCCACATAGATGTCTGATAGGTATCTCAGTCTTCCCAGGCACAGCAAGGCTACTGTTCCCACTTCAGCCTGCTTCTCCCCTGGGGCCCCTATCTCAGTAACCCAGGAGTCATTTTTTAGGACCTCAACCTAGCAGTCATTTCTATCCTCTTTTTCACACATGGCAGCAAATTCCTGTGAGCTCTATGTTCAATCTATTTTGGTCTTACTGCTTAGATAGGTCTATGGCTACCACACCAGTCCAAGTCAGCATCATCTTTAGCCTGGGCAACTGCAAACACTCTTGTTATAGTTCCCTGTTTTCACTTGTGTCCTCTAGACTCCTTTAGTCTATTTCTCTTAGCTACCAGAGTGAATCATTAAAATGTAACCCAGGTGATGTCACTTCTCTGCTCAAAAAAATCCTTCAATGGCCCCCATCACACATAGAACAAAATTCAAAGCACTTCCCTATCCGAAAGACCCTAAGTGATAGCACTTCCGCCAACCTCATCTCCTGGCACCTTCCTCCTCTCTCGCTCAGCTGCAGCCATCCTGGCCTCCTTTGCTTCTCTGTGAGCATCTTGAGATGGCAAGACACACCTCTGCCTCTGCACCCTTAGATAGGCCAGTCCTTCTGTGTGACGCATTCCTTCCCCAGATAGCTGCATGGCATTGCAGCTCACTCCTCTGCTCAAGTATCAGGCTTTTCCTGGACACCCCATCAAAAGAAGCACCTCCATAGCTCTGTTTCATTTTTCTGTATGGCATTGTCGTGACTTATTTTATGTGTGTGTGTGTGTGTGTGTGTGTGTGTGTACATGTACTTGTATATACATAAATATAAATTCATTTATAGTTTGTCTGCCAGTTCATACATAAGGTCAATAAAGGTGAAGCCTTCATTTTATTCACTGCTGGATTCCCATTGTTAGGAATGGTGCTTAGTACCTTGTAAGTATTAAAGAAATACTTTTCGATACATGGAGAGTTTTTCTTGTGTTAAAATTGGTTTGGATTTAATTAAGTACTCCAATCACCAAAAATGAGCCCTAAACAAAAAAGCAAGAAAGAAGTTACATAGGATTAGTTCTTTTATATTCTGTGTACCTTGCAGAAACCTGTTTGAAAGCTGGGGTCATACAATTCTTTATTTTTACTCAGGAAACTGAGTAAAATCTTTTATTCAGGAAATCTAGGGGCAGTGTAACAGAAAAAGTTCCTTTCACTTCATTACGGTGCTGGAAGATGTAAGTATTTAAAACAATACAAAAAGTTTCTGCATTTAAAATAATCAGTGATTACTTAAATGAAATATTTTGTAATAAGTGAAAAGAGAAAGATTTCCCAGGTTTTATTTATTATTACATGGCTCTATATAAAGAAATTATGATATTATTGGATAAAATTGTTTTGAGACTAAAAGAAAAAATTCACATGAGAGGCTGGGTGAGGTGGCTGGCCAGGCACAGTGGCTCAGGCCTATAATCCAGCTCTTCTGGAGGCTGAGACAGGTGGATCACTTGAGCTTAGGAGTTCGACACTGGCCTGGGCAACATGGCAAAAGCCTATTTCTACTAAAAATACAAACATTAGCCAATGCGGTAGCAAGCGCCTGTAGTCCTAGCTACTCAGGAAGCTGAGGCACAAGAATTGAACCTGGGAGGCAGAGGTTGAAGTGAGCCGAGATACTGCCACTGCACTAAAGCCTGGGTGACAGGGTGAGACAGAGTGTTTGCTTAAAAAAATAAAAATAAAAAAACAGAGGTACCTCAGAGTGTTAATAAGCTAAAAAACAATCCTCTCCCTCAACAATTATTTTGTAGAAATCCCCAACTGTGGCTAAATGGTTTGGCATAGCTAAATACATGAAACTTAAATTCACCAAAAAAATGAAGTTGTTTTAACCTACCGTGTTTAAATTATGATGGCTACTATGAGCCATAAAATATTTTATAATAAAACTGTCGATTCTAATCAATACAAAGCAGTATATGAATAAAATTTCAGCCACTAACCCTCTGAACATCGATGACTTTATCTGTGCTGTTTTTGTGGCACTTAATCACTTGTTATCTTTTATTTGCAGGTAGTGGCATTTCTGGACATAGAATTTTTGTGTTTCATCTTTGCAGCTCCTACAATGTTAGCACAATGACTGGGCTACTCAGTACATGTTTTCTGAATGAAAGAATGAATGAATGAGGTGGAGGGTTAAAGTTCAGGAATAATGGCAGTAAACGCTGCAAACATATAATAGTGAATACATATTTGGAGAGTGCTAAATAAGCCCAATTACTGCTTTTTTATATCATACCCTATGAAAGCAATGTATAGAGACTTAGACACATCTATAAATGTCGTTTATGTGAACTCTATTTTGCATCCCAGTAATGATCACAACTATAATAAAGTAATCATTCATGTAGTCATTTTCTTAAGTCTGTCTTCTCCACTTTAAATCCCAGAGGGTAAGGACTGCATATGGTTTCTGAGAGCTTCAGCATCTCACGATAGTGGGGGCCCAATAAATATATTTTGAATAATGAATGCAGTTAGGGCTGTGCCAGTATGTAACTTGCACATGATTGGGCCTCATTTTAGCTGAGTTTACCAGGCTTCTCGCAGCTTCACAGAATCTAACCATTTATTTTTCAATGGTTTTAGGATACACACTTTTCCACATGCATCTTACAGTTGATAGTGTCTTAGTACCACGTATAATTTAAACAATAGTGTTTTTTTCTTTCTGAGTATTACACAAAATAAGTCTTAAGAAATGATAGTATTTTCCAATCAATGAAATACAGTTACTGTTAATTTCATTTTAATATGGAAAAGACAAAAACTTCAAATACTCACATCAATTAAATCGGAAAGATCATGTATATAATACTTGAAAACTGAGGCATTGGTGGCTTCAAGTGTTAGGAGATATTCATTCCGTGCCTTAATTGATTTTAGCTTATTTTCCGAATATTTTGCTTGTCTCTGGAATGAAGAAGATCCACGCATTGAGAAAGAAAGCAAAGTCGTTTTTAATCAAGACAGAGAAACATACATGAATTTTTATTAACCGTAAGAATTTATTCCACATATAAAAATGACCCTCAAAGTCCTCTGCCAAAAGTACATTTTGAATCTGATTTAAATAGCAAACTAAAATTACCCAGCTATGGGGAATAATAACAATGTATTTAGGCTTCAGGCCCATTTGCAATGAAATCTCCTTGTTAATATTCAAGTTCTCCACACTGTGTATTGAATACTTGGCATTCATCACTAAATGATGTCCAGCTGTTATTACATGATTTTTACATTTCTCAGACATTTCTCATTCCCATGGGAGGAAATGCATGTCATTTCACAATAATTTACAATGTGTGGATATCAGCTATTGCATCAGTGTTCTTAGTATTGTCTCCTCAAATGAAGGCAGAAGAGCTCTGCAATATCTTTTTACTTACTTTTTCTTTCATTTTTTCAATTTTCTTTACAGAGCTTCGCCGTTGATGTCTCTCCTCTAGTCGAATATGGAACACTGGATCACCAGATCTTCCAATTTGCTTTTCCTCTTGTTTTTCAGCCTCTTTCAGCTTACTCTCTGCACTGATGCTCTCTGCATGATACATATGGTATGTTTTCATCACCTGTGGAAAAGTGACCCAAATCATTACAAGATGTCTGTCTGTAATTTAGAGAGTAAATGGGAACCATTTACAGGACATATACGATATACATACCACCTTCCAAATGGCAGAGGGGAAAAGTCAGGTTGTTAGTAAAATGAGTGAATTATGGACTACTGCTTCTACATAAAGCACACAGAAATATGCAAATTCATCTACTAGGAAAAGGCGCTTAGGGGACAGGATTTGATAAGAAAATGATTTACAGAGTCTTATGCATACTTTTCAATGTACTTGAAAAGTTATCTTAAACGTATTTCTGTAAAATCTCCTCTACATTATTAATTTGCAGAATAAACCATTTATTCATAGATCAATTTTAGCCCTACCCAAACCTAAATCAGTACAGTCATTATTAAAGTAAATTTATTGTATAAAATCTACCTGTCAAAGTCAAAAATGTAAATATTAAGGTTCATACACAGTTTGAATTGAAAAAAACATTGTTTTTCTGACCACAAATACTTTATGTTCAATCAAGAAAACATTTATTTTCTTTAAAAAACAAAAACAAAAAAACAAAGAAAAATAGCCTGGGCATGCTGGCTCATGCCTGTAATCCCAGCACTTTGTGAGGCCAAGGTGGGCAGATCACTTGAGGTCAGGAGTTCAAGACCAGCCTGGCCAACATGGTGAAACCCTGTCTCTAGTAAATACCAAAAGTTAGCCAGGTATGGTGGTACACCTGTAATCCAGCTATTCAGGAGGCTGAGGCAGGAGACTTGCTTGAACCCAGAGGTTGTAGTGAGCTGAGACTGCACCACTGTTCTCCAGCCTAGGTGACAGAGCAAGACTCTGTCTCAAAAAATAATAATAATAATAAATAAATAAAATAAAAAGCAATCAAGGATAACCACTATCAAGATTTTAGTATACAGCCTTCCAGCCTTCTTCCTATCAAAATACATACCCATAAATATGCGTGTGCACGCGCACACATGCACACACACACACACACACACACACACACACACACACATTTCTTCCTTTAAAAATGCCATATATGCCTGGCTATGGTAGTGAGAAAAGGGGACTTAGTTAAAACTAAATTCAGGGCAGGGCATGGTGGCTTCATGCTTGAAATCTCAGCACATTTTGGAAGGCCAAGGTGGGAGGATTACTTGAGCCTAAGAGTTTGAGAACAGCCTAGGCAACACAGCGGGACCCTGTCTCTACAAAAATAAAAAAAAAAATAGCTGGACCTGGTGGTGCATGCCTGTAGAGCCAGCTACCTGGGAGGCTGAGGCAAGGGGATCACTTGAGCCTGGGAGGCGGAGGTTGTAGTGAGCTGAGACTGTGCCACTGTACTCCAGCCTTGGTGACAGAGTGAGACCTTGTCTCAAAAAAATAAAATAAAATATAAATAAATAAATACATAAATAAAATAAAATGCCATATATTATTTCTCTCTTTAAAAAACTGAGCTCTTCCTGTATTTTTTTTAAACTTAATTAACATTTATAGAACTCTCCACTTTAAATACACAAAATATACACTCTTATCAGTATCACATCACACCTATATACAGGTTTAAATGAAATATTGGTTGGCTGCTTGTTTGTTATTTTCTTCCCTCATTTTTTTTTTCATGTCTCTATTGTTAAGCACAATTATAGGCATACCCATGTTTAGACTGCATTCTAGCCCGGGCAATAAAGCAACACCGCCGTTCTCTCTCCCTCTTACTCTCCTTCATTTTTTTTTTATTCTTTTTTCTTTCTTCTTTAAAAAAAAAAAAAAAAAAAAGAGCTTGCTTTATGTATCTGGGTGCTCCTGTGTTGGGGGCGTATGTATTTAGGATACTTAGCTCTTCCTGTTGGATTGATCCTTTTACCGTCATATAGTGTCCGTCTTTGTCTCTTTTGATCTTTGCTGAAGTCCATTTTATCAGAGACTACAATTACAACTCCTGTTTTTTTTTTGTTCTCCATTTGTTTGGTAAATCATCTTCTATCCCTTTATTTTGAGTCTATGTGTGTCTTTGTATGTGAGATGGGTTTCCTGAATACAGCACACAGATGGGTTCTGACTTTTTATCCAGTTTGCCAGTCTATGTCTTTTGATTGGAGTGTTTAGGCCATTTACATTCAATGTTAATATTGTTATGTGTGGATTTGATTCTGCCATTTTGTTACTGACTGGTTTTCTTTCCCATTTGTTGCCTCATTTTCCTCATTGCATTTTTGGTCTTTGCCAACTGGTTTGCTTTTGCAGTGGTACTTGTTCCTTTCCATGCTTAGTGTTTCTTTCAGGAGCTCTTGTAGGGCAGGTCTGGTGGTGACAAAATCTCTCAATAATTCCTTGTCCGTAAAGGATTTTATTTCTCCTTCACTTACGAAGCTTAGTTTGGCTGGATATGAGATTCTGGGTTAAAAGTTCTTTTCTTTAAGGATGTTGAATATTGGCGCCCACTCTCTTCTGGCTTGTAGGGTTTCTGCAGAGAGATCCACTGTGAGTCTGACAGGCTTCCCTCTGTGGGTGACCTGGCCTTTCTCTCTGGCTGCCCTTAGCATTTTTTCCTTCATTTCAACCCTGGTGAATCTGATGATTATGTGCCTTGGGGTTGCTCTTCTTAATATCTTTGGGGAGTTCTCTGTATTTCTTGAATTTGAAATTTGGACTGCCTTGCTAGGCTTGGGAAGTTCTCCTGGATAATATCCTGGAACATGTTTTCCAGCTTGGATTCATTCTCCCCATCATATTCAGGTACACCGATCAAGTGTAGATTAGGTCTTTTCACATAATCCCATAATTCTTGGAGGCTTTGTTCATTTCTTTTCACTCTTTTTTCTCCTGTCTTGCTTTCTCTTTTTATTTCATTGAGTTGATCTTCAATCTCTGATATCCTTTCTTCTCCTTGATCAATCTGGCTATTAAAACTTGTTTTTACTTCATGTAGCTCTTGTGCCGTGTTTTTGAACTCCATCAAGTCATTTATGTTCTTCTCTATGCTGGTTATTCCAATTAGCATTTTGTCTAACTTCTTTTCAAGGTTTTTGGTTGCTTTGCTTTGAGTTAGAACATGTTCCTTTAGCTCAGAAATGTTTGTCATTAGCCACCTTCTGAAGCCTGTTTCTGTCCATTCATCACACTCCTCGATCAAGTTGAGATCCTGTGTTGTTGAGGAGTTGTGATGCCTTGAAGGAGAAGAGGTGTTCTGGTCTTTGATAGTTTCATCTTTTTGTGCTGGTTTTTTCCCGTCTTTGTGGATTTACCTGGCTGTGGTGTCAGGGAACTGCTTGATGAGGTTGCTTGTCTGCCCAGGAAGGCCAGGTTTCTGCAGTTCTCTAACATCACATTCCTATATAAATTCCGCTGTGCTGGGTTCAGGCATTTCCACTCCTCCAGAGAGAATTCTATGGCCACATCCCCAAATGTCAACGGTTCCATTTCTAGGCTTCCAAGGGATCTTGGCGTCGTAGCTGTGGATCTCCAACACCTGCAGGTCACAGGGCCACACAAGCTAGCCGTCTAGGAGAACAGGACACAGAGCAGTGGAGACGACCTCTTCCTGTATTTATAATTTTTAGATTGTAATGTCCTTTGCCACTTATATATCAGAGCACATTTTCCTATATCATTAAATATTCTTCTAAACATAATTTTAAGTGCTACATAGTATTTTTCTATATGACTGTGCCATATTTGATTCCCTACTGTTAAAAACTTTAGGATATTTCGACTATTTGCTTTAAAAAGTTGTGCTGTAAACCTTTGATGTATATCTAATTTCTTCTCTTAGAAATGACATATGTAATTTGAATTTTAATTAATTTAGGGATATATAAAACATAAAAATTTCATAATGTAAAATTTATACAATGAATCCTCAATTATTACATATTTTGGTTATATTATTGTTACAAAAAATGTTTGTGTACAAAATTGTGTTCATATTTTCTAGGACAAATTTTCAGAAATAGAATTGCAGGGTTAGAGCATATGCACATTTTTGAGACTTAGTAATATATTGCCAATTTTACACTCAGCTAATTAAAGCAAACTCATCCATAGCATTATCTCTGAAAGTATTTCAGACAACATAGTTGTTTGATAAATATTTTCTCAAATAATAAACAAGCTATTCATTATTTTTATAACAGTATCTATGAATCTGAATGCAATCTCTGTATTCTTAGATACAAGAGAATAACAGATTTCAGAGTCACAGATTTTACCAGAAAATCATAATTTTTCCCTTATAATTTCAGTATGCTTTCATATGTAGTCAGATATCTGTATATTTTGAGCACAATTATGCTCCTTAAAAGAAACAACACAGGTAAGGTATGATGATTCCAATGCCAAGGATGTATCAAGGAGCATAACCAAACTCGGCACCCAGTGCTAAACATTCATGGCAGAACTTTCTTATAAATGATGTCAAATTCTCTTCTGCAGAAGACAGACTTCATTTCATATGCAAATAACCATGTTATTCAGAGCCAATTTTATAACTAAGGTGTAGGAAGTTGAGAATAATGCAATGTTTTCAAGTAATGAATCTGATTTTTCTTATTTCAAGAGATGAGTTTTTAAATAGTTTGAGACATGGAAGCATCATTGGAATAAATATATTTATTTAGGTTAACCCATATTGAAATTGCTCTTTCTGTAGGTTATTAAAAAGGTGGAAAATCAGCACTTTCTTATGGTTCAACTCAACACATATTCTCAAGATGACTATTTTGAAGAGTAAGACAAGGGGGTTAACGAAGAACCTTTACTTATTTTCATAAAATCTGATGATGGCTTTCCTTAAAAATGTAAGCTAGTAAATCACGTCAAAGACATTACAGAGCCAGAACAAAGTAAGGGGTAAACTACAAAGCACTGGCAGCTTTTTCTCAGCCGTGAGTAACTAGAAAGTTGTCTGTTTTTAGTAATTATTGAACCTGTCTGGGAGAAGTTTGGTTGGCTACTTCAGTTTAAAAGAAAAATAAAATAGCAGTAGGAAGCAG